GTCACAGTGTACTTGCCAAAGAGAGAGAGGGAGAGAGAAAGAAAGCAAGCATTTTCATGCCTCAATCCCTTTCCTCCATTTCTCTTTCCCATAGGGATTTTGAGCATGTATGCACACATGTCCAGCATGTTTTACCAACTGCCAGGGCTGAGATTCAAACTGCAGTTTGCCATATGTGATCTGGCTCCCAATACACAGCTCTTAACCACTGCACTACAGGGCTGACCCTTCTTTGAGTGTTTAATCCTTACTCTACCATCTGTTATGTCAACTCTGACATTTATACCTCACTTAATGTAGGACATTGCCTTTTCCATACTTTGAGAAATTACACCAGGAATGAGTTTACATCATCTCCTAGAGTCTTTGCCAGAATGTTAAATCCTGTATTCGGGTGAAAACACAAATCAATTCATTTTCTTGGATTTGGGTTTTTGTTTGTTTGTTTGTTTGTTTGTTTTTTAGTTGCCAGAGGGTGTGTACACTCACCAGAAAGAGAGAGAGAGGGAGGGAGAAAGTACTCCCATGGAGTGTATTCATGATACAATCCCTTCTCCATTTCTTTATCCTGTCAGGACTTTGGACACACTCATACATATATCCAGCATGTATATAGCAAGTTGGTGAATGTCTTTATTACATCTTAGTGCTTTCTTAAAATAACTATGATCATAGAATAGCAAGACCACCTTTGACTTCTTTTGATTGTACAGATTGAGAACGAATTGCTGGCTACCTATTTTTGCCAGAACACTGTGTTATATTGACAGTCTGTGTCCTAGTAACTATCTCTTAACTAACTATCCACAGGGATAGATGTGTTTTATTAACTATCTCCATAGCTCCCTGCAGGTCAGATATCCCTGTCTGCCACTCTGACTCTGTAACATATTATAGTATTTGCATCCTCCTGCCTTTAACAGTTAAGTGCAGCCATCCTGCCTCTATTTCAGAGGTAGCACCATTTCTTTGAGTGATCCTTATTTCATAACATCCTTTTCTACTCTGAGCCTTGACCTGTAGAAGAGCCATCACTGAACAAACTTCTTAGTGATGCTAGTGCTCCTCTCCACCAGTGCATTCCTTCTAGCTTTGATAAATGGTGTGTCCTTTGGGTCCTCCTGTGAAACATATTTTTCTGGAAGATTTTCTAGCTTTACATGATATATTTATCCTGTCACTCTTACTTCTTTGTGTCTTTATTTTTTTTTTACATTTTTTAATTGTCACAGTGTACTTGCCAAAGAGAGAGAGGGAGAGAGAAAGAAAGCAAGCATTTTCATGCCTCAATCCCTTTCCTCCATTTCTCTTTCCCATAGGGATTTTGAGCATGTATGCACACATGTCCAGCATGTTTTACCAACTGCCAGGGCTGAGATTCAAACTGCAGTTTGCCATATGTGATCTGGCTCCCAATACACAGCTCTTAACCACTGCACTACAGGGCTGACCCTTCTTTGAGTGTTTAATCCTTACTCTACCATCTGTTATGTCAACTCTGACATTTATACCTCACTTAATGTAGGACATTGCCTTTTCCATACTTTGAGAAATTACACCAGGAATGAGTTTACATCATCTCCTAGAGTCTTTGCCAGAATGTTAAATCCTGTATTCGGGTGAAAACACAAATCAATTCATTTTCTTGGATTTGGGTTTTTGTTTGTTTGTTTGTTTGTTTGTTTTTTAGTTGCCAGAGGGTGTGTACACTCACCAGAAAGAGAGAGAGAGGGAGGGAGAAAGTACTCCCATGGAGTGTATTCATGATACAATCCCTTCTCCATTTCTTTATCCTGTCAGGACTTTGGACACACTCATACATATATCCAGCATGTTTTCAAGCCACTAGGGCTGGGATTCAAACTGTAGTCAGCCATGAGGAATCCAGTTCCCTTAACCACTAGGCTAAGTGTCAAGCTCTTTTATTCAATTTTATATTTCAGCGTCCTTGCTGAAACTTTTGAGAGTTCAATTTCATACTTACTTACTCAGCATATGTTGATGCATGCTGACCAGATTAGGCCCTGCAATTCTTTGTTCTTATATTCCCTTTCCTTCCATATTAGGTCAAACACGTCCCCAGCTAGTTTATGTTTGTCTTAACCCTAGTTATAGCCCCAATGGCCAAGGGTGGGGGAAGATTCCAAGGAAAATCCATGTTATCTTAAAGGGGAAAGGGCTCTGCATGTCCAAGCGAGGTGGAGTGCTAGCCCTTAATTGAGAGGTGTAGGATGCTTCTGAATACTCAGTGAATTCAGAGGAATCTGGGGAAGTAAGATTTTTTAGGGACATCACTCCATATGTCCCCATTCACGTGTCAGGGTCCCATTCCTTCCTAAGCAGGGTCCTGAACTTGGCATAGACTCAACTTGGTTGGAATTTTAACTTTATCATAAAGCTTGATTTTAATTAAATCCTGGGCCTGCTCTTCAGATTTCTTGTCCCTTTACCTGGAAAAGATGAGCGCCTCTTTGTATGCTATGAATGAAATCCTCTGGCTTTCAAATATAGTGAGTAATTGTTGATTAATTCAGCTTTTTAATGATTTTGTTAAGAGATCATTCAAGCTTAGCAAAAGTCATCCAATTTTTTTGGTCTTATATTTAATATTTCCCATCTATTTCTCAAAGGTCTCACACATGGTACCAGTTAATGCATTCTCCTCCATCAATGTGCTTCCCCAGTACACCACCCATGAAAGCCCTAACAATTCTTCTGCCACCTTGTTCCAGGGACCTATCTACTCCACCTACCACCAAAGATGGGGTCCTCATTACCAGCTGGGCAGCAGGTGATCCATCTCCAAAATATCATCACAGTGTTTGCTTTCTTGAACAACTTCTTGTACCAACTGTTGCAGGTTGGCTTCCCGGGGAGAAGACTCAGAGACAGAGCTCAGCATGAAGGGCTTTTATTAAGGAATGCTCTTGGGATCAACACCTGTGAAAGGGAAAAGAAGGAAGCAGGATTGGACAGGGGGAGAAGTTAAGGTGTTTCATTTGGGGCAGGAGGGTCATGACCATCAATCATTGAATGTAAAGTACCACAGGAAGGGGGCATGACCTTCAGCTGAGGTAATTCCTGAAGAGAGCTTACAGCTAAAAGCTGTCTACTGGAAGCACTCCTACAAACTGAAATAATAAGTTCTTTATTCCAGAAGGGGGATCAGGGCAGCAGATGGTAAAATCCACCACAAGCACAATATTTTTTTTACAGTAGAAAGCTGGTGGCCATCAAATGCAAGAATTGAGAATAGTTTTATTTTTAAAATACTCAGAAAGATTTCCATGTTTGAACTACTATGGCTTTATTTAAATCATATTTATTTAAAATTATAAATTAGACCTTCCAAATATTTAGACATAAATACGTGAGCTCCCATTTATACTTCTGCTCTAGACCCCTCAAAAAAAAAAACTATTAAGCCTGACTACCCTGACAGCCCTGAATCCATCCTTTTCCATTTTGGTAAATTTTTTTAAAAGCCCTATTTATTATACAAAGATCACAAAATATAGGTAAGTAAGAAAAAAAAAAGGCAGACAAAATAATCTCTCTAACATCCATAAAGAACTATTAACATTCTCAGACTATTCACTGAAGATTATATATATACATATAGAAAATTTAAATACATATTTTTTCTTCATAAAAACTATGCCATGTACTTTCACAGCCTATTTCTCCCACTTAAGACTATATAATGAATTTTTGGGGGGTTAAGGAAATATGGATATCCATCAATTTTCAACAGCTGCAGAATATTCCACGTGTTGACATATGGTTATTTGTTTAGCCAGCTACCTATGTTGAGTCATTTACAATTTTTCACCCTTCAAAACAGCTTGAAGATGCGCAGCTTTGAACAAGTGAATTATTTGATTGCCTTGTAAGGATGAATTTCTACAAATTATTGGAGTTACTGAGTCAACAGGAATGCACCTCTTGAAGCTTCTGAAACATATATCCCAATGGTCCTCGTAGCCCTCCCACCTGCAGAGTTTGAAAGTGCTCCTTCTCCCACGTACACTCCATCCCCAGCACTAAGGCATGGGAGAGAGGTGGATCTTCTCCTTTGTGGATCTCAACAGCACTCTCGATTTTTCCATAAAGGACCCATTCCAACCCTTATAAAATGAATCTGCTATAAGCACCAAACATTATTCTTTCTTCTATATTTCCTATTATTTCAAAATAGTAACTATTTTATTTACTTATACAGACACAAGAGTTGGCCAAGAAGGGGAATGTTTTCCTATCAAATGCCCTAGGACTCTAAAATAAAATTGCTCTTCTGTATCCAGAAGAGATTCTGGCATGTATTTGTTCTAAGGGTCTCTCACTTCCATCCCCTCCGTACCATTCCCACAGCCATCAATGAAATGCCACACCTTCATTGTCTTGTGCTTGGACTATTGTGGTAACTTCCTGACTGGTAATCTAATCTCCGGTCACCACTCCTGGCCCCACTTCAAGTTGAACCTGTGCTGCACATAAATCCACTACATTGTTTTCCTTTCATCCTGTTGCTCCTCTGGTCAGGAAAGGCCTTGGTGTGGATAGGATAATAGCCAGACACCCCAGTTTAACAATCAAGGGTGCTCCATGGATGGGACTCACTCCAATTACCCACCTCTATCTCCCATCTCTCCTCTCCCCACACTTTTCCACCCCAGGCAGGCCAGCTTCTCTTTGTAGCAGGATCCCCACCTCTATGCCTTTCTCCCCACCACTCTCCCCTCCCTCAACGTCCTTGAGACCCACTTGTATCCGGTCCTTCAAGCCCAGCTTACTCAAGTGTCCGCCTCCTCTGTAAAACTTTCCCTGACCACTGCTGACCACAGCAACTTCTGCTGCCTCTAAGCAGTGATGGGAGGCATCCGGCCATGATAGGAGGCTCCCAGTTTTGTCACTATCTTTTTTGTTTCTGTATATCTTGCCTTTCCAAACAGATCAGAAACTCAAGGACAAGGACAATGTCTTTTTTTTTTTTTTTTTATCTGCTGCTTAAAAGACACAACTTTATTGATGACATAAAAATAAAGTCTCGGATGTATAAACATAAGTCCACACAAAGGACCAAAGATTACCTTACTTATGAAGAATCAGTTCAGTTCTGCTCATGAAGCATACTAAATGTATCTCAATCCAGACAAGATAAAAATCAACACATGTATTTTCAGTACAAGTTTGAATTCATTTGGTGTTCATAGAATGGTCTGGCTATAGACCATCATAGGTAACATCAGTTTTGAAGTTATAATGCAATGTACAATGTGCATTACTTCCAGCCTGCAAAACCAAAATATCACTCGAAGTTGTTTGGGAACATAATGCTAATCAGAGTTTACTTATTAATAGCTCAACTCTTTCTTTCACCTCAGGGTCATTACATTCTGCTGCTAAGACTCGAAGTTTCTTGGCACATGCTTTAGGTCGTTGGAATAGGAAATAAAGGGAATTTTTATTAAACTTGTCCTGAGTAAATGCTTTTGCTCTTCTTTTAAAGTGGTAATTTATATTTTCAAATAACGAAAGAGCATTAAGAATATTCTCTTTTGTCTCTTTCTTGCTAAAAATATTCATTAGTGTTGTTGGAGCATTAGCAATGAGCAAGTCTTTTGTCATAGATGGATTTTTTGAGAAATTCAAGAGCATTCCCAAAACATGGTCTTTAGTTTCTCCACTTCCCACAGTTAACAAACGAAGAAATTCTGAGATATAGTTTGTAACCATATGCTGATATTCACTAGTAATAGTCAGATGCCTTATCAATCTTAGTCCAGCCAGCTGCACATTTGAATTCAAGGGATAGGTGACTGTGTCTTCACAGACTTGATTTAAATATGTTTTAACCTTCCTATGGTTTTCAGCAGCAACTGAGATATTATTCAATGCATTTAAAGCCTTCTGCCTAACACTGGGGTGGGGATTATTGAGTAAGCTTTCAATAACTGAGATTCCACCTACATTACGAACAACTTCGTGGGAATAAGGATAATCAGCACTGTTATATAGAGCATTATTGGCTATTTCATGAACAGAAGGATCTTCAGTCATCTCAATCATGCAAATGAGTTTTTCAAGCTCTCGTGGATCCATATTAGCATCACGTTTACAGCGGCAGGACCCGGGCCGAATTTTCTCCCCAGTCCTGACCTGCTTTCTGAACTCATCTTCAACTGGGTAGCTGGCGTCACTTTGGTGTGGAAACTTTGTTTCTGACCAGATCATGGCTCCATCCCATGACCCCATTCCTGCCCCGGGGACCATGGATGGGTATGTGCCTCTTGACTCAGCTGACTTTTTGGCTTTAGTCTTAGGTGCAGATTTGTCCTCACTTCTGTTTTCACTTTCAGCACAGAACCAAGATCTTATATCAACTCCACCAGCAGCCTCAAACTTATCCTGGATGCTGGCCTTTTCTCCAGCCCCAGACTCAAAATGGACATCTTTCCCACTCTTGGATCTGAATTCATTGTTATTCTCACTCTCAGCCCAAAACAAAGACCTTAAACTGATCTCCTCAATATCAGGGCTGGACGTTCTGCTTAGCTCATCCTCATCTACATCCCTAGCCAAAGTCCAGGACTCTATGCCAGCCTCTTCCCCAGCCCCAAGCCTAGACTCTATAGTGGTTGTATCTCCGTTCCAGGACCAAGACCCCATTCTCGCTTCAGACCCAGCCTCAGCCCCACCCTCAGCCCCCCGACAGGAACCCATGTAAGCTGCCTCCTCAGATCCAATCCAGGACCCAACACTAGTCTTATTCTCAGCCCCAACACTAGAATTTGTGATGACCTCCTCTTCAGCCCCTGATCTGGATTCAGTACTGGCCTCATCCTTGGCATGAGAACTGGGCATAATAACAGCCTTTTCCCCTGTCCAGCACCAAGTCCCTATACAGGCTTCACTCCCAGGCCCAAACCAGAATCCTTCATTGGCCTCTGTCTCAGCAGTGACCTGAAACCTTCCACTGGTCTGGTCCTCAGACCTAGCCCAGGACCCTCCACTGGCTTGATCCTCAGGCTCCAATCCAGATTCTCCACTGACTTCATTCACAGGCCTAGAGCCAGTCCAAGATTCTCCACTGGCTTGGTTCCCAACACCAGCCCAGGAGCTTCCTCCACAGGCCTGGTCTTCAAATCCAGATTTGGGACAGCCATCAACCTGATCCCCAGGCCCAACCCAGGACCTTCCACTGGCCTGACTGGCAGTGCCAGCCCAGGTCCCACCACTGGACTTGTCTGCAGGCTCTGGCCTTGATTCTCCAATGACCTGGCCACAAATCCCATCCCAGGAACCTCCTCCACTGGGCTGATCTTCAGGCCCCAGACTAGACCCTCCACTGGCCTCATTCCCAGACCTAGACCCACCCCAGGATTCTCTACTTCCCTGATCCCCAGCACTAGACCAGAACCCTCCTCCAATGGTCTGATCCTCAAATCCAGGTTTGGAACACCCACCAGCTTGATCCCCAGTCCCAGTCCAGGACCCTCCACTGACCTGATTCCCAGTGCCTGCCCAAGACCCACTACCGGACTGGTTTGTGAACTCCAGCCTAGACTCTCCAACATCCTGGCCACCAGCACCAACCCAAGAACCTCCTCCACTAGCCTGACTCCCAGTGTAAACACAAAACCATCCACTGGCCTGGTCCCCAGTAGCAACCCAGGAATCTCCACTGGCCTGATTCACAGCCCCAATCAAGAATCCTCCACTGATTTGGTTCCTGGAGTCACCCCAGGATGTTCCACTGGACTGGTCCTCGGGTCCAGACTTGGACCCACCACCACTCTGGCAAACAGCTCCAGTCCAGGACCCTTCTTCACTGGCCTGATTCTCAAATCTAGGTTTAGATCCACCACTAGACTGGTTACCTGTCCCAGCCCAGGGCTCTCCACCTGGTTGGTCCATGGACCCTGGCTTAGACCCTCCACCAGCCTGGTCCTCAGTGTCAGCCCAGGGACTTCCACTGGACTGGTCTACAAGCCCCAGCCTAGACCCTCCACTGACTCGGTCCACAGTCCCAGCCCAAGACCTTCCACTAGACTGGTTCTCAGGACCCAACCTGGACCCTTCACTGGCCTGGCCACCAGTCCCAGCCCAAGATTCTTTTTCATTAGCCTGATCCATAAATACAGGCTTGGACCCACCCCCAGATTGATGATCAGTCCCAGCCCAGGACCCACCACTAGCCTGATCCACACCCCCAGTCCAGTACCCAATAGTACCCATATTCCCAGCCCCAGTCCCAGCCCAAGATCCTCCACTGTCCTGGTTCCCAGTCCAAGACCCTCCAATAGCCTCTTCCCCAGCCCAGGAGATCCCACTGGTCTGGCCCCCAGGCCAAGACCCTTCACTGGCCTGACCCCCAGCCCAGGGCCCTCCAATGGCCTGGTTTCCAGAAGCCCAAGACCCACCACTGTCCTGGTTCTCAATCCCAGTCCAGGATGCTCCAATGGCCTTTTCCTCAGCCTCTGCCCAAGAACCCCCACTGGCCTTGTCCCCAGCCCAGGACCCCTCACTAGCCTGACCCCCAGCCCAGAGTCCTCCACAGGCCTGGTCCCCAGGTCCAGCCCAGGACCCAAGAGCAACCTCATTCCCAGTCCAGGACTTAATGCTGGCCCCAGAAAAAGCCATAGTCCAGGACCTAATAATACCAGCCTTGTCAGAAGACCCACTCCAGGCCCCAACATTAATTTCATTCTCATCATCAGCCCAAGACATATTATTCTCCCAATCTCCATCCATGGCCTGAAACCTAAATTTGATCCACCGCTCAGCAGCAATCCAATCTTCAACACCAATTCCATTCCAGTAGTAGTCATGGATATCAGTCTGAGTCTTTCTAGAGGCCTCAGCACCTGTCACACCCTCACTCTCAGAAGTGGACACTGCCAGAGCTTCTCGCTTTGGATAGACCTCACCTTCTGTTGTGGCTTCCACCTCAGAACTAGGCATAGCTTTGTCCCTTGCCCTAGGCAAGACTTCACCCTGGGAACTTCCCACAGTTTGGGGCTGGGTAGAGCCCCTTCTATTTGCCCCAGCCCCTGTTTTAGGAGCAGCATTAGCATTGCCTCTGACCTTATTCCTGGCACCAAGCAAGTTCTCCCCCAGGAAACTATCCACAGCCTGGCTCTGGATAGAGCTCAATGTACCTGCCCCAGCCTCTGCTTTAGACACAATATTAGAATTACCCTTGACCTTATTCCGGGCACCAAGCAAGGTTTCACTTTGGGAAGTGGTCACAGTCTGGGACTTGGCAGAGCCCATTGTACCTGCCCCAGCCTCTGCCTTAGACACAGTATTGGTATTGCTCTTGACCTTATTCTTGGTACCAAACAAGGCCTCATCCTGGGAATTGGCCATAGACTGGAGCTGCATAGAGCCCACTATATCTGCCTTAACCCCTGCCTTAGACATGGCATTGGAATTGCCCTTGACTTTATTCTTGGTACCAGACAAGGCCTCACTCTGGGAATTGGCCTCACTCTGGGAACTGGTCACAGTCTGGGGGTGGGCAGAGCCCACTGTATCTGCCCCAACCCCTGCCTTAGACATGGCATTGGAATTGCCCTTGACTTTATTCTTGGTACCAGACAAGGCCTCACTCTGAGAATCGGCCTCACTCTGGGAATTGGTCACAGTCTGGGGCTGGGCAAAGCCCACTGTATCTGTCCCAACCCCTGCCTTAGACATGGCATTGGAATTGCCCTTGACTTTATTCTTGGTACCAGACAAGGCCTCACTCTGAGAATCGGCCTCTCTCTGGGAACTGGTCACAGTCTGGGGGTGGGCAGAGCCCACTGTATCTGCCCCAACCCCTGCCTTAGACATGGCATTGGAATTGCCCTTGACTTTATTCTTGGTACCAGACAAGGCCTCACTCTGGGAACTGGCCTCACTCTGGGAACTGGTCACAGTCTGGGGCTGAGCAGAGCCCACTGTATCTGTCCCAACCCCTGCTTTAGACATGGCATTGGAATTGCTCCTGATCTTATTCTTGGCACCAGGCAAGGCCTTACCCTGGAAACTGGCCGTAGGCTGAGACTGGGCAGAGCCCACTGTACTTGACCCAGCTTCTGCTTTAGGCACAGCACTGGGACTTCCCTTGACCTTATTCTTGGCACCAGGCAAGACCTCATCCTGGGACCTGGATATATCTAGGGGCTGGGCAGAGCCCACTGTATCTGTCCTGTCCCCTGCCTTAGGCACAGCATTGCGATTACCCCTGACCTTGTTTTTGGCACTAGGCAATACCTCACCCTGGGAACTAACCATATCCTGGGACTGGGTAGGACCCACTATATCAGTGCCAGCCCCTGCCTTAGGCACAGCATTAGGATTACCCTTGACTTTTTTCTTGGCACCGGGCAAGGCCTCACCCTGAGAATTGGCCACAACCTGGGGCTGGGCAGAGCTTACAGTACCTGCCCCAGCCTCTGCCTTAGACACAGAATTAGGATTACCCTTGACTTTTTTCTTGGCACCGGGCAAGGCCTCACCCTGAGAATTGGCCACAACCTGGGGCTGGGCAGAGCTTACAGTACCTGCCCCAGCCTCTGCCTTAGACACAGCATTAGGATTACCCTTGACTTTATTCTTGGTACCAGGCAAGGCCTCACCCTGGGGACTGGCCACAACCTGAGGCTGGGCAGAGCCTGTTGTATTTTCCCCAACCCCTGTCTTAGACACAGCATTGGGATTACCCTTGACTTTCTTTTTGGCACCGGGCAAGGCCTCACCCTGGGGATTGGCCACAATCTGAGGCTGGACAGAGCCTGTTGTATTTTCCCCAACCCCTGTCTTAGACACAGCATTGGGATTACCCTTGACTTTCTTCTTGGCACCAGCTGAGCCCTCACCCTGGGAATTCGCCACAGTCTGGGGCTGACCACAGGCTTTCTGGTCTGCCTTAGCATCAGCTCTAGAAATAGCATTAAGATAGCCCTTACCATCAACCCTGGAATCAGGCAAGGCCTCAGATTGTGTCTTGGTCCCAGCCTGAGGTCGTGCACAGGTTTTCATATCTATCCCAATCCCTGCCTTAGACTTGGCTTTGGTTTTGCCCCTACCCTTACTTCTAGTACTGGGTAAGGCTTCACCCTGGCTCTGGGTCACAACAGGAGACTGTGCTTTTGTGTCTGTCCCAGTTCCTTCCTTAGACATGATGCTGGCATTTCCCTTAGCTTTAATTCTGCCACCAGGCAAGGCATCAGCCTGGACATTGGACACAGGCTGAGGCTGTGTATAAGACAATGTATCTGTCCCAGGCCCTGTCTTGGCCGTGACACTGGGATTGTCTTTGGTCTTATCCCTGACATCAGGCAAGGCTTCAGCTTGGGAACCAGCTCTCGAGTTTGTCCTGGCCCCTGCTTTAGCCACAGCATTGGGATTGCCTCTGCCTTTAACCTTGGCATCAGGCATGACCTCAGCCTGAGCACTGACTACAGCTTGAGGCTGAGCAGCAGCTCTCACATCAGCTTCAGTCATTGCCTTGGATATGGCATTGATATTTCCCTTGCCATCAACTCTGGCACCAGATATTACCTCAGCCTGTTTCTTGGCCTCAGTCTGAGATTGTATACCAGTTCTCATATCTGCCCCTGTCTTACACATGGCATTGGTATTACCCCCAGCATCAATCTTTGCCCCAAGCATGGCCTCAGCATGGGCCTTGGCAGCAAGTTGAGACTGAGCAGAAGCCCTCACATTTGCTCCAGACCTTGCCTTAGACATGGTTTTGCGATTCCCCTTGTCCTCAACCCTAGTACCAGGCATTTTATCACCCTGGCTCTTGGCCACAGCCTGAGACTGTGCACAGGACGTCATGTCCACTCCAGCCACTGCCCTGGACATGCCATTGGAATTTCCCCTAGCATCAATTGTGACACCAGGCCTGGCCTCAGACTGAGTCTTAGCCACACTCACAGTCTCTTCCAGGGTTCTTGCCTTGTCCTCAGCCACAGTTTCAGTCTTGATCATGGTCCCCATCTTGACCACTTCTCTGGTCACTGCCAGCGCCTCACTCTGTGCCACCACTACTTTGTTAATCTTTGCCTCTTTTTCAGTCGATACATGAACTTCAGCTTTGGTCTGGGTCATTGCTTCCTTCTTGGTCTCTGCCCTGGCAATCAGTGCCCAAGTTTTAGCCTTGGTCTGAGTCACTGCCTCCTTTTTGACTATTTTCCCAGCCTCAGCATCAGTTTGGGTCACTGCCTCTTTCACAGCCACTTCCCTGGCTTTGACCTTGGCTTCGGCCTTGGCTTCAGTCCACTGGCTACTGGACACTGCTTCTGTCATGACCAGTGTTCCAGACACTGCTTTGGCCTCAGATTGGGTCTCTACCTCTACCTCAGCTATTGTGTTGGCCTGAGTGTTGGTTTTGGGTCTGGCTATAGCAATGGCTTTGGTTTCTACTTCAGCCCCAGGCCCACATCCTGCTCCAGTTTCTGCTCCAGTCTTGGCCTTGGGTCTAGTCTCAATCTTAGCCCCAGCCATGGCTTCACTCATGGCCAAGGCCTGGTTCTGTACCCCAACCACAGTCTCCATTGCGACACTGGACTCATGTCTGGAAAGTCTCCTCACACTTTGGGCTCTTCCCTTGGTTAATTTGTAAATGTAGTAGCAGGTGCCAGCCCAGATCATCAGTCCTGCAGTCGCCCAGCCCACTTCCTGAATGCGGCCCATGTAATCACCCTGCTGAAGTCACCAACAAGGTACTGGGGAGGCTCACTCGGGCTAAGAAAAAAGGGTGGTAGGTCTGGGTGTAGGCCTGTGAGGGCGCTGGTCTTCAGCCACTCAAAGGCCACTACAGCTGCCACTGGAGGTGGACCTAGAAGTGGAGGAAGGAAATGGACTAAAATATCTCTTCTAATTCTGTTGTATCACACAGGTACACAGAGACAGGAAAGGATAGAAATTATGTGCTTGATGGGAGATATGGATGATTATCAAATTTTCCATCCCTCTTATTTTACCCTCTCCCAACCTTTCCCAATGCCCAACAATTTTCCCCCAATGTCCTTCCATACACATTTCCATATACCAAATTAACAGTGGAAGGATGGTGGAAAAACTGACAGTAAATGGAAGAGATCAAGAAGCACTCCAGACTTGATTTTTACTGGACCTAATCTGGTCACCACTCCCACAGGTCCCCACCCTTATACCAACCTGCAATGGTTCGAGGCAATTCCCTCCTCTTTATTTCTCGTGCTTGGCGATACACCCTAAGATAGATATATAAACTCATGAGATCTTTGCACCTAGAGACAGGCAATACAGACAGATGGTGAGAAAAATGGGAGTGGAAATTTTGTCCTTGGTAGGACAGGAATATTATTAGCAAACTACCTCTCTACCCGCCCCCCTGGATTCACTTCACTCCCCAAGTGTCATCACTCTCTTTTCTTCTGCCAGGATTAAGGTGACACTGAGAGGTAAGCTATAGGGATAGTAGGAAAGATGGCTGGAAAAGGGAAAGGCCAAGGATCCTCCAAACTAGACAAGGCCCATACTGAATGCACACCATCAACCCACCCTAGAGGTCTATCCAGGCAGTCCCCACCCTCTTACCAGTCTACATTGGTCAGGGCAATATCCTTGTTTCTTTGCTTCCAGTGATCTCAAACCCTGCAGCAGACATGCAAGCAGATCTATGGACAAGAAAATAAGCAGGAATTTATAGAGACCAAGTCCTTGTTAGAACAGACAAGCACCCTTATCCCAGGCCCCAGTGCCTACCTTGCTAGGGCCTAGGTCCAATTTATTAATGTGTCCCATCTCATGGTCTGACTCCACCCGCCCAACTTAAGCCTTCTGTTCTGTTACACTCCAGCCCACACTTATGCCAATATCCCTATTACTTCCTGCACTGAGAGAAATAAAAGATAGGACAGCCCCATGAAAATCTGACAGAGTGTAGGAGAAGCAGAGGTGCCTTCCACCGAGATCCTCTCAACTCTCAGCCACCTACTATGCTCACCCAATCTTGTCATCTCCAGGCACTGCCCACCTTCACACCAACCTCCATGGTTCCAGGCCAGTGTTC